TAGTATGACGTATGGCTACACTTGTAGCAGGTAGCATGGCGTATGCCTACACCTGTAGCAAGTAGCATGACGTATGGCTACAATTGTAGCAGACAAACAATATGTGTAAGACAAATGTTTTTAATCGCATGTAAGTTTTTAAAAAATGTGGTTTCCAATGACAATGTTTGTTCATAAAAAAATAATTGGAGTGTTCACTTTCATCTTCTTTGTTTGTCATTTAAGAAATTCTGTTGAATATTTAACTAGCAAGACAATATCGATGCTGTGGTTTTTTTTTTAGATGTCATCGCTGGTAGAGAAAAGGGTGATGATGTGGGACTAGGGGAGACAATTCATGATGTTTTAGTGTGGGGCTATGGGAGACAATTCATGATGTTTTAGTGTGGGGCTATGGGAGACAATTCATGATGTTTTAATGTGGGGCTATGGGAGACAATTCATGATGTTTTAGTGTGGGGCTATGGGAGACAATTCATGATGTTTTAGTGTGGGGCTATGGGAGACAATTCATGATGTTTTAGTGTGGGGCTATGGGAGACAATTCATGATGTTTTAGTGTGGGGCTATGGGAGACAATTCATGATGTTTTAGTGTGGGGCTATGGGAGACAATTCATGATGTTTTAGTGTGGGGCTATGGGAGACAATTCATGATGTTTTAGTGTGGGGCTATGGGAGACAATTCATGATGTTTTAGTGTGGGGCTATGGGAGACAATTCATGATGTTTTAGTGTGGGGCTATGGGAGACAATTCATGATGTTTTAGTGTGGGGCTATGGGAGACAATTCATGATGTTTTAGTGTGGGGCTATGGGAGACAATTCATGATGTTTTAGTGTGGGGCTATGGGAGACAATTCATGATGTTTTAATGTGGGGCTATGGGAGACAATTCATAATGTTATGCGAAGAAGGGAAGCTAAGATGCATTAAAAAAAAAAAAGTCTTACTTATTAAGGGATGGGGTGTGTGGGTGTGAGTAATTGTTGGTGTTGGTTGGGTGTGACAAAGGACAGTGAGTGTGGGGTGGGTAAGTGGATAAATCGAGATTTTCTTTTTTTTTTTTGGGGGGGGGGGGGGGCTGGATTGTGTAGTAGATATGATGTGTTGGCACCCGAAAAAAACACTCCTCACATCTTCTCTCACACTTACCTCACTTATCTACCCCACACATGTATCCCACACACCGACCCTTCACATCTACCCCACACATCAACGCCACACATCTACCCTTCAAATGCACCGATGAGAACGACCCCTGCCATTGACCCCTGCCATTGACCCAATGAAGCCAGACACTGACCCCCTCAGTTCGTATTGTCACAGTACCCCAACGGTCGAACCATAAAACAAAACTAGACCATATCGGTCGAACATCGACCGTTTTAGAACCGTCCATTTCCTAGACGTTCGTTAGTCCCCGATCGATACCTCACAAGATGGCATTGTACAGTTGAAGGTTTTAACTCATTAAGTAACAGCGCTAGACAATTTTAACGACTCACTGTTCAATTTCTTCCCTTACACCGCTCACACTAGTTCTAATGCAGCGAAAATACGAGAGTATCATTTTTGTTTCTTTCCATTCAAGATTGGTCCCTAGATTATACTGAGTCAATTATCCTATGTATAATTTAGCTTTTGCTATTGTCTAGGATTTCGATTTTTTGAAAAGGTTTTTGCGTGCTAGGCTAGTTGTGGTGTGTGTGTCTCGGTTTGTGAGTCTCTGTAGGTATCTGTGTGTGTGTGTGTTGGTGATTGTAGTCGTGGTGTGTTGGTGTGTTCTTGTGTTCGTGGTTGTCGTCGTGTTGTGTTGGTGATTGTCGTCGTGTTGTGTTGGTGATTGTCGTCGTGTTGTGTTGGTGATTGTCGTCGTGTTGTGTTGGTGATTGTCGTCGTGTTGTGTTGGTGATTGTCGTCGTGTTACTTTGAAGATGTTTATAGCGGCTTGTGTTTATTGTTGCTGCGTGTAACAGCTGCTGTTGAGTGTGCACATTTGTATGTGGGTGTGTTTTGTATTGAGTGAGTTATTCAAAGGTGTGTTCAATAGACGATTGGGTGTTAAATGTAGGATTGTATGATTGGGTGTTGAATGTAGGATTGTATGTTGTAGTGAGCGTATAGCCGTGGTAGGTAGTTGAAAGTTATATTATGTTTGTACGTGTGTTCTCGTGTGCTGAGCATGTATATGGTGTCCATGTTTTTACTGTAAACGTGTATGTTGAGTGTGTGTGTATGTTTACAATGTACGTGTGCATGTATCGTGTGTGTATGTTGTGTGTATGTTGTGTGAATGTTGTATGAATGTTGTGTGTATGTTGTGTGTATGTTGTGTGTATGTTGTGTGTATGTTGTGTGTATGTTGTGTGTATGTTGTGTGTATGTTGTTTGTATGTTGTGTGTATGTTGTTTGTATGTTGTGTGTATGTTGTGTGTATGTTGTGTATATTGTGGTATGTTTTGTGTATGTTTGTATTTTGTGTGTATGTGTGTATTGTGTATGTTGTGTGTATGTTGTTTGTATGTTGTGTGTATGTTGTGTGTATGTTGTGTGTATGTTGACAGTGTAAACGTGTGTGTATCGTGTGTGTTCACCTGAGCTCTACCTAGATAGCCATGACCTGTGTGTGACGTAACCACAACAGGTAGTACCAACACGCCCCGCCCTCCCCGCCCCCAGTAAACAACGGTCTGACATCGTTCCACGGCCTACATAACGCGTCGATCGTTCGCCAGCTATCAGCGCGTGTTCACACAGTCTGTGTTCTACCGCTGGGTACGGCCACACTTGCAGCAGTTCTACTTTATCTACTTGACTAACGACCCCAGTCGCAGGGGGTCATTCTCACACGAGCAGCGCCGACCCCCTAGAGGCAAGTGATTGAACTGATTGGGATGTGAGTGCCGGAGTTAGCGCCCCTGCGTGTGGCTGTCGTGGCCAGTCCATGTCGAGATTCGAAAAGGTCAAAGTTGAAATTGTGTAGTGTGACGTAGGCTTATCATACGGTGCTCTACCTGTGTTACTCAATATATTCGTGTGGATATGTGCGTGGAGTATACAACAGACGGATTGTAACTCAAGGATTATATAACAAAACGAGTTACACAAGAATGGATTATCCATTATACATTTGAGAATTTAATGAGTTGTCATTAAACAGGCAAGTAACGAGAACTTATTATGTTTAGATTTTAAGAATAAAATATTAATTATTCCTATAATTTTTAAAAAACTTACTTTGATGTTATAGGCCTATGTCATTTAGTGAAATTTAGAATGGTTATATTTGATAAAACATTTATGTTGACTATTGGCAGTAAAGACCATCATAACATTAACATGCTTGTCTAATCGTTTAAGGGCCTTCAGTAATTTTATTTCTAAAAGTTGTATTGACTAAACTGTTTCACATTGAAGATTCGGATTAGGATTAACTTGCTTAAGGCTAAGGCGATGGTTACGTGTTAAAAAATGTGTGTGTGTGTTAGTGTTTTGTTACGACAGCGATTCTCTAATGTTAGGTAACATCATCTCGTATTGTATGACGGGATGGTAGCTAGTTAACGGAACGGATTTAGAACGGGTCAGTGCTAGTTAACTGGACGAATTTAGAACGGGTCAGTGTGGACAGATGGCTAATCTCTCCAGGTACTTAATTAATTGATACCGTTGTTGGCACTACGTCATGAACTAGCGCTAGAGTTGGATTTAATTAATCCCGTCTAATTGTGACCAGATAATGGGCCTTGGTCATCCAACTAATCTACTTTAGTAGCTAAGTCAATACACGCTGTACAGAGGCCTACCAATACTCAGGCAAAACCATTGTATAAACTGGCCTTATGTACATATATACGCCTATAAATTATAATATATATATATATATAAATATATATAAATATATATATATATATATATATATATATATATATATATATATATATATATATATATATATATATATATATATATATATAGAGCCTATATATATATATATTTATTTTTATTTATGGGCGTATATATATGAGTATATATACAGGGCTATATATAGTGAGAGAGAAATAGAAAGTGAGTTGCAACTCCTATAGAAATGTGATTGTGTCCCCTGTATGAATGTGATTGTGTCCCCTGTATGAATGTGATTGTGTCCCCTGTATGAATGTGATTGTGTCCCCTGCATTACTCCTGCAGAAATGTGAGTTACCGACCCTGGAGTTGTTGTGTACGAGACCGTCCATCGTGCAACGAATCTGCTCCATGTGCAGCTGATGTGTGACCCCGACTATCTAGGTCACCGTTGTGTAACACGCCATGACACAGCATCTGTTGTGTGGAGGAGGGAGCCACGTGACCTCGTTAATCCTAGAACTACATTACGTGTTATGTTACAAAGCCGTTCGCTGTCAATCTCACTAATCCTATATTTACATTGTTACAAATCTAGATTATCTCATAGAATCAAACTTCGGTATTTTATAAGCTGGTTTTGAATCGATTTAGAAACGTGTTTCAATTTAGATATTTGTAGCATGACTTACATTAGGCCTACACTACAGTATTATGGTTTTTTTTAGACGTGGCAATCTTTGAACATATTTTTAAAACTTTGTGAAACACGACAAAATATGCGATCAGATTTTAACCTAATTTTTCTTTCAAATATAAATAATTTAAAAGGCGTTGCCATCATTTCGTGAATGTTTGAACACATGTGTAGCCAACACTATTTTAGTATGCCATATTAGGTGGGTATTGATTTCAATATTTACTCCTAGTGTTCGCTTACAATAGCTCACAATTTGAGATTATTATTTGTGGTTTCAAGAGCGACGTTGTCGTCAGAAACCATCTAACGGTTAGCCAACATTTCCTTTATGTATCGAGGCATTCGAACATACAGTGTAAGATACATAGTGGGGACAACATATTCACGCAAATCTGGTCATTTGCAGGCCATTTATTGACGTGCATCTGGTCATTTGCAGGACATTATTCACGCAAATCTGTTCATTTAAAGGATTTTGTTTATGCAAGTATGGTTATTGATAGAACTGCATTGACTCAAACTAGGTCATTTATATGACTTTATTCATGCAAATTAGGTCATTTATTTTTCCAAGACTTTACCTCTGTGGGAGACGAATTAAATCAGAGTGAAGATTAACACCTTTGACCCTAATCAACCCCCCACCACCCCCGATTTGAATTCAGGGAGGGGGGGGGTGATTTAAAATAGGTCTCTTGTTGGCTGTGATTCCGTTATAATTGTAATCTTTCAGTGCGAGAGAGAAATCATATTATGTTAATCTGAGTTCTAATCTTTGAGAGCAAGCAAGGGTGGGTAATCGAATGTGTGAGACCTAATAAGGGTAGATAATCGAATGTACCTTAAGTGAGTGGTGTAAATTCTATAAGCTCCGTGTGTCAGAGTTGTCGTTACTACATTTCAATTCATGCCGGAATAATCAACGCTTTCTGTGTATTTCAACAAAGGAAAATGTGTATATGTGAACAAACTATAACGTGTATATGTGAACAAACTATAACGTGTATATGTGAACAAACTTTTATCTGACTAGCTTCCCCTGCATGGCGTGCGTTTGTCGTGCTAACTCATCGGTCGAAACTGTCGAAATTTCGGCCACCCGGACCGATTTACCTCAAACCTAGCATGTAGGTTAAGACTCGATAACAATACAATGTGATATAAGATTTGACTTAATCTGGTGTTTAATTAATGTCTTAAGAATAAATTACCTTTTCTACTTTCTGGTATATACGAAGTAGGGGCCTATAGAGAAAATCTTGTAATCGTGCAAAAAAAAAATCGAGATTTTTAACAAATCTCGACATTTTACACCTTACTGATACGGAAAAACATAATTCTGCAATCTTGTCCGTATGTCTGTGTGTCTGTGTGTGTGTCTGTGTAAATTTATAAAGAACTAATAATATTGCGCACTACTATGCCCATCTTTATTTGGCGTTCACTTGATGTGCAATTCATTTTCCACGAGATTTTATTCTATTTTAAAAAGTTTAAGTATTTAAAATGGATTAAAAATCATGTCTATATCCAGAGTTCCCATCCCCTGTTGTTTTATAAGAATATTCGAGAAAGTTTAGGGGAGATCACTCCCGGTTTATTGTATAAAGTAATTTTCCGCTCTAGTATACTCACATTGTGTTCATTTGGTTCGCGATTGTTTTTTGCTTGAAATTCTTTGAAATTAGAAATTTAGAGTATAAAAAATAAATTTTAAAAAGGGTTTTAATAACAAGTATCTGTTTACACATGTAGTAAAAAGAATATAAATTAATTTTGTTGAAATATATTATAATTCACCACTATTTTAAATAACTGAGCAAAAAAAAAACAACCGCTTTAGATTATTTAAAACAGTGATGCTATAAAGAATCTTGTTTAAGTTTATAATTTCAGTTGGCCTTCTCGCATGTTGTATTTTGTTAAGAAAAAAATACATTATCGATAGATAGCCTATATTTATTTGAACATTGAGGGCAATTAAAATGTGTACTCTATAGTTTGTGAGAGGTTTGCTCTTAACATTGAGGGCAATTAAAATGTGTACTCTATAGTTTGTGAGAGGTTTGCTCTTTACATTGAGGGCAATTAAAATGTGTACTGTATAAATTGTGAGAGGTTTGCTCTTTACATTGAGGGCAATTAAAATGTGAGAGGTTTGCTCTTTACATTGAGGGCAATTAAAATGTGAGAGGTTTGCTCTTTACAGAAGTGAGTAGAAATGATATGGTCAGGGTTTTATTTCAGCCGTGGTTGTTAGATTTGGTGACATAATTGGTAGCTGTAGCTCACGTGAATGATCGCTAGAACCTCGTCATCGCCTTCATATGTACACACACACACACACACACACACACACACTCACACACACACTCACACACACACTCACACTCACACACACACTCACACACACACTCACACACACACATACTCACACACACACATACTTACACACACAAACACTCACACACACACGTACTCACACACACGCATGCACACATACTCACACACACACATACACACACACATACTCACACACACAAACACTCACACACACAAACACACACTCACACACACACATACTCACACACACACATACTTACACACACAAACACTCACACACACACGTACTCACACACACGCATGCACACATACTCACACACACACATACACACACACATACTCACACACACAAACACTCACACACACAAACACACACACGCACGCACTCTCACACACACTCACACACCTAGAAAAGGTTTGGTACAAGATGCGAGACAAGTCTGATGAAGAATCTGATCAAGAGATCATCAGATCATCAAACGATAGTATAACAACCAGACAATATCCGAACAATATCCGGACAATATCCGGACAACATCCGGACAACATCCGGACAACAACCGGACAATATCCGGACAACAACCGGACAATATCCGGATAATATCGATCATAAAATCACATTAGCAAAGCTCATAGCTTGTAATCCCACAATATTTGAAGATGGCATCTAGCGGTGTACCTTACACACTACTGAGTTGAGGTTGTAAAAACTGTGCACATTACACACTACTGAGTTGAGGTTGTAAAAACTGTGCACATTACACACTACTGAGTTGAGGTTGTAAAAACTGTGCACATTACACACTACTGAGTTGAGGTTGTAAAAACTGTGCACATTACACACTACTGAGTTGAGGTTGTACAAACTGTGCACATTCCGACACATTCACCCCCCCCACCCTCCCTAATCTAGCCCTAACAGAGAACATCTCGGACCAAAGTTCACCCCCCCCCCTAAAATAAAAAAAAACCTGCCCCAATTTCAAAGTCGAACAACGACATAAAATCTACCATTAAAATGAGAGCAGATCTTGAAGCTATCGTCGTGTGTGTATGTGTGTGTGTATGTGTGTGTATGTCCCAACTGGTATTTAAATAGGATCGGTAGGATGGTCCTAAACAAACATTCATGAAATATAACCTTTAACGATAAAACATTGACGATAGAACATTGAATTAAACATTGACTATAAAACATTGACGATAAAACATTGGCACGATAAAACATTGACACGTTGACAATAAAACATTGACTATAAAACATTGACTATAAAACATTGACTATAAAACAATGACTATAAAACATTGACTATAAAACATTGACATGGTTAAACACTGACACGATAAAACATTGACATGTTAACACATTGACATGTTAACACATTGACACAGTAACACCTCATGTCGTCTGATGATCTGGTTTATGTCCCCGTTATCTTGGTGTGTTGGTGCCTGACGTGTAGAGAGGTACGTCACACAGATACATAGGGACACACAGATACACAGATACATAGGGACACACAGATACACAGATACATAGGGACACACAGATACACAGATACAAAGGGACACACAGATACACAGATACATAGGGACTCACAGATACACAGATACATAGGGACACACAGATACACAGATACATAGGGACACACAGATACACAGATACATAGGGACACACAGATACACAGATACATAGGGACACACAGATACACAGATACATAGGGACACACAGATACACAGATACATAGGGACACAGATACACAGGGCCTCACAGATACACAGATACATAGGAACACACAGATACACAGATACATAGGGACACACAGATACACAGATACATAGGGACACACAGATACACAGATACATAGGGACACACAGATACACAGATACATAGGGACACACAGATACACAGATACATAGGGACACACAGATACACAGATACATAGGGACACAGATACACAGGGCCTCACAGATACACAGATACATAGGAACACACAGATACACAGATACATAGGGACACACAGATACACAGATACATAGGGAAACACAGATACACAGATACATAGAGACACACAGATACACAGATACATAGGGACACACAGATACACAGATACATAGGGACACACAGATACACAGATACATAGAGACACACAGATACATAGAGACACACAGATACACAGATACATAGGGACACACAGATAAACAGATACATAGGGACACACAGATACACAGATACATAGGGAAACACAGATACACAGATACATAGAGACACACAGATACACAGATACATAGAGACACACAGATACACAGATACATAGGGACACACAGATACACAGATACATAGGGACACACAGATACAAAGGGACACACAGATACACAGATACATAGGGACACACAGATACACAGATACATAGGGAAACATAGATACACAGATACATAGGGACACACAGATACACAGATACATAGAGACACACAGATACACAGATACATAGGGACACACAGATACACAGATACATAGAGACACACAGATACACAGATACATAGAGACACACAGATACACAGATACACAGATACATAGGGACACACAGATACACAGATACATAGAGACACACAGATACATAGGGACACACAGATACATAGAGACACACAGATACACAGATACACAGATACATAGGGACACACAGATACACAGATACATAGGGACACGCAGATACATAGGGACACACAGATACACAGATACATAGAGACACACAGATACACAGATACACAGATACATAGGGACACACAGGGACACACAGATACACAGATACATAGGGACACACAGATACATAGGGACACACAGATACACAGATACATAGGGACACACAGATACACAGATACATAGAGACACACAGATACACAGATACACAGATACATAGGGACACAGATACACACGGCCTCACAGATACACAGATACATAGGGACACACAGATACACAGATACATAGGGACACAGATACACAGGGCCTCACAGATACACAGATACACAGGGCCTCACAGATACACAGATACATAGGGACACACAGATACACAGATACATAGGGACACACATAAACACAGATACATAGGGACACAGATACACAGGGCCTCACAGATACACAGATACATAGGGACACACAGATACACAGATACATAGGGACACACATAAACACAGATACATAGAGACACACGTTGAGACACATAGGCAGCGACACGCACGGACAGAGACATAGACACCTATATAGACACATAGAGACACAGAGACATTTATTTATAGACACATACAGACATAGACACAGAGACAAGCAGAGACACCGTCACCCATACAGACACTCTGAGGGAAGAGACACACAGACACACAGACACACACAGAGACACACAGAGACACAGACACACAGACACACAGACACACATGCAGGAGCAAACGCCAGCACTGGCATCAACCACTGAGAGCACAGCACACGAACACACACACATGCACACACGAACACACACACACACGAACACACACACACACACGAACACACACACACACACGAACACACACACACACGAACACACACACACACACACGAACACACACACACACGAACACACACACACACACGAACACACACACACACACGAACACACACACACACGAACACACACACACACACACGAACACAGACACACGCACACGCTTACACTGTCTCTACTACCTTAAGACATATTTCTTCTCAACAAACACAAACTTACAGACCAACAAACACAAACTTACAGACCAACAAACACAAACTTACAGACCAACAAACACAAACTTACAGACCAACAAACACAAACTTACAGACCAACTAATACAAACTTACAGACCAACAAACACAAACTTACAGACCAACTAATACAAACTTACAGACCAACAAACACAAACTTACATTAGCTTAAAAACTCTTGCGTCACTGACACAAATTACCGCAATTTTAAAGGATTAACTTAATCCTCAGCTTAATAGCTGGCTAGTTAACTTAATCCCGTAAATTACTTATTTCTATTGTTGCTTCTATGATAAAACATCGAAGGCTCCAACGTCAGTTGATGTTTATAAATAGACAAGTAGTTCTAGTTACTTCGTTCAGGGTTGTATAGATCTAAAAGTTTGGTTGATAAAACTAAATACCAATACAATTGATGTGAATATGTTTAAATAGAAGGGGAAGACAACTAGCTCAGATACAAGATTTCTCCTGTTATATAGCTTTACTAGAATCTTCTAATCCACGGAATTTTCTTGTGAGACGTTACTAGAATCTAAGTTGAAGACGTCACTAGAATCTGAGTTGAAGACGTCACTAGAATCTGAGTTGAAGACGTCACTAGAATCTGAGTTGAAGACGTCACTAGGATCTGAGTTGAAGACGTCACTAGAATCTGAGTTGAAGACGTCACTAGAATCTGAGTTGAAGACGTCACTAGGATCTGAGTTGAAGACGTCACTAGAATCTGAGTTGAAGACGTCACTAGGATCTAAGCCACACGGGTCAAACCACACGGGTCAGGCCACAGGGGTCAAGCCACACGGGTCAGGCCACAGGGGTCAAGCCATACGGGTCACCAGACACGGGACGTCATGCTAGCCACTAGGGTCAAGAAAAACCGGGTGAGCTAAGAAACACATGAAAAGATAAATGAAATGATAAGAACGATGGGGAAGTGGGTGGGGTAGGGGAATTTAAAAAAAAAGGTGGTTTAGAAATTGTCAAAGTCAGCAGGGAGTAGAAAGAAATACAGAAGAATAAAAGAGTTCATTAGGTGCCTGAAAGGTAATCACTGATCAACTAGACAGAACCAGTTCTATCAGGTGGTTCAACAGAAGCTCTAAGCCATAAAAAGTTGAAATAAAAGTTTTTTTCAGATATTTTTTTCAACTTTCCCATCCTGATCAATTAGACGAAATGGTGTGAGAATTAGAGTTTTCTCAGTCGGGAAAAATGATTGAAATTGTTGGAGCATGATGTGTATTGTCTGGAGTTGGTCAAATATTTGGAGACATGTTGGTAACAAAGAAATTATCGGCCAAACTCTCCACACCCCAAACATTTAACTTTTGGTGTGTTTGTACTTGTGGACATAGGCTTTGAGAGTGGGATCTTCATTGATGCGAGTCTGTATTGTGGTGTGTATGTGTGTGTGTGTGTGTGGGGGGGTATTTATAAGGGTAGTTTGTGTGTGTGTGTGTGTGCGAGGTGTTACGAAATGTACAAAGCCCACGTTTCGCATGTTATAAGCTTTTTTTTTTACAATCTTGTAACTTCGTTTTGACCTATTTTTACCAGAGTTTACTTCAAACTTTTCGATGACGAGGCAAGAATGTTTTAGCATCAATCTAGTTAAATATGAAATTGGTCATTACAGAACCGACCAATACAAAATACGACGGAGCACCAATAGAACTGAACCTTTTATTTTTTGTTGTTGTCATTATTATTTAGGTCTAATTATTAATCAGACCTCCCCCCCCCCCCCCCCGCCCCCGACCTTTTGGTTTGACCACCAGCCACAAGAAAATTCCGGTTATTAGGTTTAACAATGTCTTTCTGGCCTAGGTTTAATACCTCGTTAATTTCACTTTTTCCCAAGCTCGGGGTGAGGGTAGGGGAGGGTGGGGTCAGATGTTGAGGATTTTACAAGCTGTTGTGTTGGTGTAAAACTTATTGCATTGATGATGTCATTAATATCACTAATTAAGAAATGTATAAATAGAAATAACAATGTTATTGACGATATAAAGAGAAGCCGCTAAGTGTATTGTGTGTGTGTGATGTATCAATGAGTGTGTGTGTTTGGTGTATCAATGAGAGAATGTGTGTGTGTGATGTATCAATGAGTGTGTGTGTGATGTATCAATGAATGTGTGTGTGTCTAAATATTGAGTAAACGCTACCATCCACCATATATATGTAACGTATGTCGTGAAAGCTTGATTCCATAGCCGCCATTTATTCCCACACATTGGCTAAGTTGACCCCCATAAACCACGCCCACTTATTTTAACCGACAGCCTGATTGGCTTGTTCTAATTAATGCTCTAACTAGGCCTACCAATTCCAGTTCTCCACAACACCGTTTACCTGTGCGCCTGTGTACCTCAACATTTACCTAAGGCGTGTCTACACATTTAAACCAGGCTATATAATTAAATAATTTAACACCTTTTAATTTGAGTTAATTTTAAGTAATTTGAACTGCAAAACATTAAAAAAAATAAAACGATTTTAATTAGAATTTTAATTAAAACAGTTGATGAAGCACAATAGTTTAGAAAGTAACAAAAACAGTAATAAAAAGCAACCCATTTAAATAGTTTTTTAATTGTGCAACTGTGAAGCGAAATATTGCAAGATTTGGTTTAGGGTTGGATTTAGGGTTTGGTTTAGGGTTGGGTTTAGGGTTGGGTTTAGGGTTGGGTTTAGGGTTGGGTTTAGGGTTTGGTTTAGGGTTGGGTTTAGGGTTTCGTTTAAGGTTTGGTTTAGGGTTTGGTTTAAGGTTTGGTTTAGGGTTTAATTTAGGGTTTGGTTTAGGGTTGGGTTTAAGGTTTGGTTTAGGGTTTGGTTTAGGGTTTGGTTTAGGGTTTGGTTTAGGGTTTAATTTAGGGTTTGGTTTAGGGTTGGGTTTAAGGTTTGGTTTAGGGTTTGGTTTAGGGTTTGGTTTAGGGTTTGGTTTAGGGTTTGGTTTAGGGTTGGGTTTAAGGTTTGGTTTAGGGTTTAATTTAGGGTTGGGTTTAGGGTTGGATTTAGGGTTTGGTTTAGGGTTGGGTTTAGGGTTGGGTTTAGGGTTGGGTTTAGGGTTGGGTTTAGGGTTGGGTTTAGGGTTTCGTTTAAGGTTTGGTTTAGGGTTTGGTTTAAGGTTTGGTTTAGGGTTTAATTTAGGGTTTGGTTTAGGGTTGGGTTTAAGGTTTGGTTTAGGGTTTGGTTTAGGGTTTGGTTTAGGGTTTGGTTTAGGGTTTGGTTTAGGGTTTGGTTTAGGGTTTGGTTTAGGGTTGGGTTTAAGGTTTGGTTTAGGGTTTAATTTAGGGTTGGGTTTAGGGTTGGGTTTAGGGTTTGGTTTAGGGTTGGGTTTAGGGTTGGGTTTAGGGTTGGGTTTAGGGTTGGGTTTAGGGTTTGGTTTAGGGTTGGGTTTAGGGTTGGGTTTAGGGTTGGGTTTAGGGTTGGGTTTAGGGTTGGGTTTAGGGTTTGGTTTAGGGTTGGGTTTAGGATTAGGTTTAGGGTTGGGTTTAGGGTTGGGTTTAAGGTTTAGGTTTATGGTTTAGGTTTAGGGTTTGGTTTAGGGTTTGGTTTAGGGTTTGATTTAGGGTTTGGTTTAGGGTTTGGTTTAGGGTTTGGTTTAGGGTTTGGTTTAGGGTTTGGTTTAGGGTTGGGTTTAGGGTTTGGTTTAGGGTTTGGTTTAGGGTTTGGTTTAGTCATAGTGTAAGGGTTGCCGGGACTTAAAGGAATTTCTTTAATTTTAATTATATTTTCCATTAATTAGGTTAGGTCTGTGATACTCTCTGCTCTCTATGTCAATAAAATATTGTTGAGTGCAGGTTAGACGCGTGTAGTGGTCTGGTATCTGTGAAAGATTGTGGTCTGGTATCTGTGAAAGATTGTGGTCTGGTATCTGTGAAAGATTGTGGTCTGGTATCTGTGAAAGATTGTGGTCTGGTATCTGTGACTTGGTAACAGATTGTGGATGTGATTGAAGTTAAATCCAGCGTTTATCCAGTGCTTTGACTCGATTCACTTTGTCAAACATAAAATAGCGAACACACGATTCCAACCAACAAACACACAAACAGACAAACACACAAAAATCATGTGTTATGAAATGTTAAGGAAACAATAAAAAGATTCGTCAGTGTTTAATTATGCCCAACTTGCACTCATTACACGAACAAGATGTTGGTCACGTGAGAAGATTGAGTTACCCGACTTCCGTTTTGGTCGGTTAGCTGAACGGAGCCTTCACATACAATATTTGACAAGTTTTCAACTCAGGTTAAGGCAAACATTTTTACCGTTAGTAGGGCTGGGAGAGGTGTCCAATGACACTTAAAATGACACTAGAATCCTGATGGGTGGGGGTGGGGTTGTTGGAGGTGGGGGTGGGGTTGTCGGAGGTGGGGGTGGGGTTGTTGGAGGTGGGGGTGGGGTTGTTGGAGGTGGGGGTGGGGTTGTTGGAGGTGGGGGTGGGGTTGTTGGAGGTGGGGGTGGGGTTGTCGGAGGTGGGGGTGGGGTTGTCGGAGGTGGGGGTGGGGTTGTTGGAGGTACCCACAGTTTACCCCTCACAGGGTTGGTAGGTAGTCTGGGCATTCTGGGAAAATTCTGGAATTTAGAAAAGTAAACATCATGTGCTATCAAAGTTTTTCAAGGTCAGATAAACAGTCACACCGAGCAGATATCCGAAATGTGAAGGTTAGACCATACGAACATTCTAGAACAATGTTTAGATGTTGTAGATATGTTGGCTTATGATTAATGTAACCCTCACTCAGTGGGGATGCTTTTACCCACTGAGGTGTTGTGGTTAAGACGGGCTGACCCTGAGATTTAGGACAAATTGAAGCGACGCTGTTGTCCACTAATTGACTTCATTCAACAGTACATCAAGCCATGATGGCGATGTAGAACAACAGTAGTACGACGATTAGAGATGAATAATGAAACAAAAAGGAACTGTAGCCCTAAAACAAATGTACACATAAAGTTACATCAATGATAATACCACGTGTAGGCTACAAACATACACGGGTGCAATAAAATATGTTTCGGCCAGTACACAGTACTGCCAACAAGTACCAATAAGTAGTACAATAATAAATACTTAAATAAATACTCAACCTAACTAGTGTGCACATGCAGCACTAGCAGGAATACACAAATAAGTATTCTAACAATAAACATAATTTATAAATCCACATTACCTTCATTAGGTCTACATTGTTATGTCTACCTCTTGGTACCGTCACTCTCCGTGTCCACAGACAGCAGCCTTGCGTGTGACTGACACGGCTAGGCACGAAACTACCCATAATCCCATGTCACATGACATGGGACACAAATAAAGTCGCTCACAGAAGAGCATGCAAAACAACTACATCAACAGTTCAGTTGCGGTCCCACAGGCAGAGGCGTAGCGATGGGGGGGGGGGGGCAGGGGGGTACATATGTCCCCGGGCGCCGACCTTAGGGGGCGCCAAAATGGGTTGTAAAAACAAATTAAAATGTCATTTTCGTTGTATTTTTGCAGTTTGAGGGGGGGTGGGGTGCAAATCGAAAGTTTGAGGGTGAGGGGTGCAAATAAAAAGTTTGAGGGGGGGGGGGGGTGCAAATTAAAAATTTGCTCCCGAGGGGGCGCCCAATTGAAAGTTTGTCCCCGGGCGCCGGGAAGGGTCGCTACGCCTCTGCCCACAGGGTCCGCAACTCAATGAATTAAAACTTTATTCTTATCCCTCCTTGGCTGGTAACCATATGTGTTACATTAACATGCTACATTCCTGTTAAAGAAGAAATAAGAATAAGTGAAGATAGGGCGCAACTAGTTCACCATACGTACAATGGAACATTTTAACCATACGTACAGTGGAACATTTTAACCATACGTCCAGTGGAGGATTTTAACCATACAAGTATAAGACTTTACTCATACAAGTATAAGACTTTAACCATACAAGTATGAGACTTTAACCATACAAATACAAGTATGAGACTTTAACCATACAAGTATAAAACTTTAACCATACAAGTATGAGACTTTAACCATACAAGTATGAGACTTTAACCATACAAGTATGAGACTTTAACCATACAAGTATAAGACTTTACTCATACAAGTATGAGACTTTAACCATACAAGTATAAAACTTTAGCCATACAAGTATAAGACTTTAACCATACAAGTATGAGACTTTACTCATACAAGTATGAGACTTTAACCATACAAGTATGAGACTTTAACCATACAAGTATGAAACTTTAACCATACAAGTATAAGACTTTACTCATACAAGTATAAGACTTTACTCATACAAGTATGAGACTTTAACCATACAAGTATGAGACTTTAACCATACAAGTATGAGACTTTAACCATACAAGTATGAGACTTTAACCATACAAGTATAAGACTTTACTCATACAAGTATAAGACTTTAACCATACAAGTATGAGACTTTAACCATACAAGTATGAGACTTAACCTACTTGCACTGAACTGGCGACCTTGTCCTTACGGACACAGAAAAATAGGCCAATAGTAAGTCACAAGATGTAAGCCTCTAGCTGTACACATCAGAAACTTGACATAAATCATTGTAGGCAGACTCCAAGTTTTGTTCATCAGAAACTTGACATAAATCATGGTAGGCAGACTCCAAGTTTTGTTCATCAGAAACTTGACATGAATCAATGTAGGCAGACTTTTATACCATCCCAACATATACGCTAGGATGTAGAGAATGTATGTAGTTGTACTTAAGAAGTGACGTAAAGAATGACATAGTGACGTAAAGAATGACATAGTGACGTAAAGAATGACGTAGTGATAGAAGGCCTGGTTGCCTGACCAGCCAACGTGAGATCAGACACAAAAATTAACTGGAATCTTTAGTTAAACACTTCACCATAGATTAAGTTCTTAACAGATTAGACGTGCTGTCGTTTTACCTTTGTCATTTGTTTTTATTTTAAAGCAGTTTTACTTTAGTTTTTACAAGTTTTTATTTACCTTGTTTACACGTGATTTGTTATCAGTCTTGGGTAGAAACAGCCGAGCGAAATTTCGACTACTACTAACGAACCTATTTCCTTTAAACTTGCCCCTTGATGTGGGTCCAGGTCCAAAAAGATTTCATCAAATGTAGCATCAAATGTAGCATCAAATGTAGCATCAAATGTAGCATCAAATGTAGCATCAAATGTAGCATCAACTGTAGCATCAAATGTAGCATCAAATGTAGCATCAAATGTAGCATCAAATGTAGCATCAAATGTAGCATCAACTGTAGCATCAAATGTAGCACCAAATGTAGCATCAAATGTAGCATCAACTGTAGCATCAAATGTAGCATCAAATGTAGCATCAAATGTAGCATCAACTGTAGCATCAAATGTAGCATCAAATGTAGCATCAACTGTAGCATCAAATGTAGCATCAAATGTAGCATCAACTGTAGCATCAAATGTAGCATCAAATGTAGCATCAAATGTAGCATCAAATGTAGCATCAAATGTAGCATCAACTGTAGCATCAAATGTAGCATCAAATGTAGCATCAAATGTAGCATCAAATGTAGCATCAAATGTAGCATCAACTGTAGCATCAAATGTAGCATCAAATGTAGCATCAACTGTAGCATCAAATGTAGCATCAAATGTAGCATCAACTGTATCATCAAATGTAGCATCAAATGTAGCATCAAATGTAGCATCAACTGTAGCATCAAATGTAGCATCAAATGTAGCATCAAATGTAGCATCAAATGTAGCATCAAATGTAGCATCAACTGTAGCATCAAATGTAGCATCAAATGTAGCATCAACTGTAGCATCAAATGTAGCATCAAATGTAGCATCAAATGTAGCATCAAATGTAGCATCAAATGTAGCATCAACTGTAGCATCAAATGTAGCATCAAATGTAGCATCAAATGTAGCATCAAATGTAGCATCAAATGTAGCATCAAATGTAGCATCAAATGTAGCATCAAATGTAGCATCAAATGTAGCATCAACTGTAGCATCAAATGTAGCATCAAATGTAGTATCAACTGTAGCATCAACTGTAGCATCAAATGTAGCATCAAATGTAGCATCAAATGTAGCATCAAATGTAGCATCAACTGTAGCATCAAATGTAGCATCAAATGTAGCATCAAATGTAGCATCAAATGTAGCATCAAATGTAGCATCAAATGTAGCATCAAATGTAGCATCAAAGGAAGCATCAAATGTGTCTTCATTGGATGATTAATTAGTTTTAAAACTTCATTTAAGTTTACCATATACTGGGCTTAATTTCCCCTCTTTTAGATAGATATTGCGTTCATTTGGTTTTAGTCATGCCATTCTATTATAGTTTACGTTTTCAGTGTTAAAAAATTATAACATACGTTTTAAGTTTTGATAATAATTATGAACGAAAAAGAAGAAAAAATAAAAAAAATATTTTCTATAAATGAATAATAAACACCCACCTTTAAAAAAAAAGAATACCTTTACTAAAATACATAATTTTAGAAGCAACCCACGCTTTTCTTTTTAGTTATTTAAATTTAGGTTTATTATTATATATTTAGCGAAAATACTTTATTTTGGAAATCGGATTGCCCAATTATATAAAAACTTGTTATTAAAACTATTTTTTTATTTTAATTTTTTTTTTGTGTGCCGTGAACGTGTCCAGGAAAAATGTCAGTGTCCTGAATACGGTCTAAGCAGGAACGATAAAAATGTTCCAACCCCCCACCCCCCCTCTCCTTTTTTTCTTGTGAGGAAGAGAATAATAATGTAGTCTAGCTGATATATGGGTCTACACTGTTAGTTTACATGCAACTTCAGGTAATTTTAAAATTATAATTTACATATTATACAAAAATTAAAACCCCAAATTTTATGGGCTTGCTGCAAAGGTATATGACATCAATAAGTTATATGTATGTATATATATATATATATATATATATATATATATATATATATATATATATATATATATATATATATATATATATATATATATTATATATATACAGCCCCCCCCCCAAATATTTTCAACGTCTACTAAGCCCAGGCTGCTCCTGGGTGGGGGGGGGGGGGGGGAAGATGGCTGACGGAAATAAATCCAAAAGTCAAGTGCATACGCACCTAGATATCGAAGATAATTCAAGGAAGTGACTCGAACATTTTTAGTGCCTTCATTCCCTACCTTAACCCTAACAAAGGTGTTGATTATATGTGAAGGGGGTAGAGAGGGGACCAGGCTACATAGTCTCAGACTTCTGGCCAATTAGATAATTAGATGACCTCTCCAACTAACGAGCACCTGTGATTGGGCCAGGAATTGGGAGATTATCGATCATCAATTAATTTATCGATCATAAATAAACCTTGACAGGAGAAGAACTGTCACTAGAGTTTTAAAACGGTGGATTGACTGACTCATGTAGTAGACAACTAACGGCTCACATTGAAAACGTTGGCACATGTAGTGGACAACTGACGGCTCACATTGAAAACTTTGGCTGACTCATGTAGTAGACAACTAACGGCTCACATTGAAAACTTTGGCTCATGTAGTAGACAACTGACGGCTCACATTGAAAACTTTGGCTCATGTAGTAGACAACTAACGGCTCACATTGAAAACTTTGGCTCATGTAGTAGACAACTGACGGCTCACATTGAAAACTTTGGCTCATGTAGTAGACAACTAACGGCTCACATTGAAAACTTTGGCTCATGTAGTAGACAACTAACGGCTCACATTGAAAACTTTCATGTAGTGGACAACTAACGGCTCACATTGAAAACTTTCATGTAGTGGACAACTAACGGCTCACATTGAAAACTTTGGCTCATGTAGTAGACAACTGACGGCTCACATTGAAAACTTTGGCTCATGTAGTAGACAACTAACGGCTCACATTGAAAACTTTCATGTAGTAGACAACTAACGGCTCACATTGAAAACGTTGGCTCATGTAGTGGACAACTGACGGCTCACATTGAAAACTTTGGCTCATGTAGTAGACAACTAACGGCTCACATTGAAAACTTTGACTGACTCATGTAGTGGACAACTAACGGCTCACATTGAAAACTTTCATGTAGTGGACAACTGACGGCTCACATTGAAAACTTTGGCACATGTAGTGGACAACTAACGGCTCACATTGAAAACTTTGACTCATGTAGTAGACAACTAACGGCTCACATTGAAAACTTTGACTCATGTAGTGGACAACTAACGGCTCACATTGAAAACTTTGACTCATGTAGTAGACAACTAACGGCTCACATTGAAAACTTTGACTCATGTAGTGGACAACTAACGGCTCACATTGAAAACTTTGACTGACTCATGTAGTGGACAACTGACGGCTCACATTGAAAACTTTGGCACATGTAGTGGACAACTAACGGCTCACATTGAAAACTTTGACTCATGTAGTGGACAACTAACGGCTCACATTGAAAACTTTGACTCATGTAGTGGACAACTAACGGCTCACATTGAAAACTTTGACTGACTCATGTAGTGGACAACTGACGGCTCACATTGAAAACTTTGACTCATGTAGTGGACAACTAACGGCTCACATTGAAAACTTTGGCTCATGTAGTGGACAACTGACGGCTCACATTGAAAACTTTGGCACATGTAGTGGACAACTAACGGCTCACATTGAAAACTTTGGCTCATGTAGTGGACAACTGACGGCTCACATTGAAAACTTTGGCTCATGTAGTGGACAACTAACGGCTCACATTGAAAACTTTGGCTCATGTAGTGGACAACTGACGGCTCACATTGAAAACTTTCATGTAGTGGACAACTAACGGCTCACATTGAAAACTTTCATGTAGTGGACAACTAATGGCTCACATTGAAAACTTTCATGTAGTGGACAACTAACGGCTCACATTGAAAACTTTGGCTCATGTAGTGGACAACTGACGGCTCACATTGAAAACTTTGGCTCATGTAGTGGACAACTAACGGCTCACATTGAAAACTTTCATGTAGTGGACAACTAACGGCTCACATTGAAAACGTTGGCACATGTAGTGGACAACTAACGGCTCACATTGAAAACTTTGACTGACTCATGTAGTGGACAACTGACGGCTCACATTGAAAACTTTGACTGACTCATGTAGTGGACAACTAACGGCTCACATTGAAAACTTTGACTGACTCATGTAGTGGACAACTAACGGCTCACATTGAAAACTTTGACTGACTCATGTAGTGGACAACTGACGGCTCACATTGAAAACTTTGAATTGTCTGTTCTAAATTGTTTGTATAGCGAGCATGCGCTAACATTTTTTTAGATTCAGCTGAATGTTTAATTATAACCACCTGTACTATACACCAGTCTAAGTTCCTGCAATTACAGTTGTTTTTATTCATGGGATGCGGGCAGTGGCGGGTAGAGGCTGATAGTGGCGGGTAGAGGCTGATAGTGGCGGGTAGAGGCTGATAGTGGCGGGTAGAGGCTGATAGTGGCGGGTAGAGGCGCTTAGAAGTGGGTAGTAGCAGATTTAGTTTTTATTCAAACCAGTGGCCTAACAGCAATGTGAACAAACAACTGGACACCGAGGTCCACTAGCTGTTTAAGTAAACAATTCGAACCCATGGGAAAAACTGAAATCTTTAAAAACTACTTTTTGAATCGCTAGTATTGGGGAGAGAGATGTGTGATTTAGCCCATGTGTAAAAAAAAAAAAAAATCTTTACAAACGCAACAAGCTGCTGTTGATGCAATAAATAAAACAGTTTAAAATAACGACTCGTTAACAATTTGTTTTTTAAAAATTGAATCATGAAACGAAACACGTTATTGTGAACATTTCCAGTTTCAATGACGCATCAGTTGTGGTCATGTTAGCATTTGCATCGATTTAGTTTCTGTCAACATCCGTTATGGTTTAAATTTATAGCTTATATCCTAACATATATTTACCCGTGAAATAAATAAAAATATGTTGTAGAAAAATAAATAGCAAACCTTATTTTAAATATCATGGTAAAGAAGTAAAATAAAACTTGAAAATGTAATTAAATATTTTACAGAAGTGTATTAAAACGCGTCACATATTTCCTCTACTTTTCATCCCGCAAAAACTTGCCTTAGTCTTGGGGTTAAGGGACCCCAAATCTTTTCACGGGTCCCTGGCTAATCAGCCACGGGTTACAAATAGCCGGATTAAATATCAAATTTTATCAACGGTCTTCTAAATTGTTTTATTTTCTTTTCAGCTCTGACCCTAAAACTCCACTTCTGCTCGGGCTTGCCTTGCTAGATGGACATAGACCTATAAACACGTTCAATAATTTAACAATGTCTCGGAAACCCCATTCCTGGGGGTAATTAGGCCAATTAGTGTGTTAATGACTGTTGTTGACGGGACTAATTAGAGCGTGATGTATGCACACAGAGGTGTGACGATGCTAAGAAACAATTTTCCTGTGTCCAGTGGTCAGCTTGATGTGTACAACAACCTACACACCCGCTCGTACCCCGCACACACCGCTGACGTCACGTACAGACCACGTGACAACCACTCATCTGGCCGCCATTACAGCGCCCTCCCCACACGGTCAAGGACAAACGAGGGAGACTACCGTCACGGGCAGCTAGAAGAGTTGTCGTTCCCTGCCTCACGGGCCTACACCAACGGCCTCGGTAAACCCCGGGCTGGAACCTCGGACTTCTCGCTTGACCAGTTCTCCCCGCACGACGTGGGTCATCTTGACCAGAACCAGAATCCCCCCGCCTGGTACCAGAGGGCCACAAACCCCCACCCCCACCACCCCAGCGGCCGGCCCGTCGAGGTTTTATCCAGTCGGCCCGGCTACCACAGACACGACCAACGCAAACACAGCTCATCGCCAGAGGAGGATCGCTACTACAACAACAACCACAACAACAACAACAACCACCACAACCTTTCGCTGAGAAACCACGAGCCCACCCCCGGGCATGGCCACTTTGACCAGCAGACTTCACCCCTAGGGTCGAGGTTCTATTCCCCACACAAACACACATTTTCAGACAGCTATCATTCGTCATTTAGTCCAGAGGCCAATTACATGACCACACACCGTGACGTCAGGGATGACGTAGAACCTCGTGACGTAAACCACAGATCACGTGATAGCCGTGAGACCAGTCTGGAGGCCAGAGACAGCACCAGCACTGCCAACTCGATAGACAGCTCGTGCTACAAAGATGACGTCAAACAAGAGGAAAATGACGTCAAACAGGAGGATTATGACGTCAAGTACGAGGACACAGATTACAGCGACTGTAGCGACGACCAGACCATCATCGCCCCCTCACCCCCGCGGGGCCCCCCCTCACCCTCGCGGGGCCCCCCACCCTCCACCCGCCGTCCCTCATACCACGACAACAACGGTCAAATCTACGAGCACTCCTCGTCCTCCTCATCAACTTCCCCTCAGCTGTCATCGCCCCCAGCCAACCTCGTCAAACCTGAGACCAAGAGCAGCCCATCTAAGCACGAATCTTCCAAGTCCAGTAACTCAGCGAAAACAAAAACCGGCAAACAAACTCGGGGCGCCCAGAACCTGCCCCCCTGCCGAGTATGCGGGAACAAGGCGTCGGGCCTCCATTTTGGTGTCAACACTTGCGAGGCATGCAACGAATTCTTCCGCCGGAGTCTGAAGCGCGGAGCGTCGTACTACTGCACGAAGAACAAGGAGTGCCAGGTGTACGGCAAGAAGAGGAACGCGTGCAGCTTCTGCCGGTACCGCAGGTGTGTGGAGATGGGCATGTCAAGGGACGCCATCAAAACTGGCCGCTACTCCCACAAGACCAGGACGGAGTACGCCATGGAGGTGGAGGAGTTCCGGCAGAGAGAAACTCATCGCTTGGAGAAAGAGAAATACGAGGTCCTGCTCGCTGACCTGGTCAAGTGCCACGATAAGTACGTCAAGAACTCCACGCGGGTGCCGATAGAAGAACTCTGGGAGCAGGAGAAGATGTTCTTGAAGCTTCACAAGGAGAACCGTGGCCAGGAGTACAAGTACCCTCTAGACAGCCATCTGATGAGGGACCGTCAGATCCTGGGGGAGAAGACATACGAGATGGAGGACGCCTCTCTGGTGATGACGGACCTGGAGATGACGGAGAAGTGGCTGAGGAACTACATCAACTACGCCAAGAACGTACCGGGGTTTAAAGAACTCGCCCTCTCCGACCAGGCCTCGCTGGTCCGGGGCAGCTGGTTCGAGTTCTGGTACCTTGGAGCATTCAGGGGCTACAACTCTGATCTCCACGTCGTTTGTTACCCAAACGGCCGGATCTTCCACGAGGATGAGATCCTGCAACTGTTCGGGAAGGATTACACGGAGCTGTCCTTCAGCCTGTCTGACCGGATGTCGACGCTTGATGTGACGCCGGAAGAGATGGTGCTGATAAAGACTGTGTGCATGACGTTCCCCGACCGTTCCACCCTACAGAACCGCGAGGCCGTGGAGAAGATGCACTGGCTGCTGGTGTCGTGTCTGCTGCACACCCTGGAGACCAACAGGCCGGGGGACTCCACCATCTTCCCCATGATCGTTGGCAAGCTCGTCGAGTTAAGGTAGGATGCACATTTTTATCTTGTCGAGTTGAGGTAGGATGCACATTTTTATCTTGTCGAGTTGAGGTAGGATGCACATTTTTATCTTGTCGAGTTGAGGTAGGATGCACATTTTTATCTCGTCGAGTTGAGGTAGGCTGCACATTTTTATCTTGTCGAGTTGAGGTAGGATGCACATTTTTATCTTGTCGAGTTGAGGTAGGATGCACATTTTTATCTCGTCGAGTTGAGGTAGGATGCACATTTTTATCTTGTCGAGTTGAGGTAGGCTGCACATTTTTATCTTGTCGAGTTGAGGTAGGATGCACATTTTTATCTCGTCGAGTTGAGGTAGGCTGCACATTTTTATCTTGTCGAGTTGAGGTAGGATGCACATTTTTATCTTGTCGAGTTGAGGTAGGATGCACATTTTTATCTTGTCGAGTTGAGGTAGGATGCACATTTTTATCTTGTCGAGTTGAGGTAGGATGCACATTTTTATCTTGTCGAGTTGAGGTAGGATGCACATTTTTATCTTGTCGAGTTGAGGTAGGATGCACATTTTTATCTTGTCGAGTTGAGGTAGGATGCACATTTTTATCTTGTCGAGTTGAGGTAGGATGCACATTTTTATCTTGTCGAGTTGAGGTAGGATGCACATTTTTATCTTGTATAATTTACACATAGATACACTAGGCTGCACTCTTATATCATGTATACTTTACACATATAGGCTGCACTCTTATATCATGTATATTTTATACATAGATACATATGCTTCACTTTTATATCACGTATACTTTACCCGTATATACAGTAGGCTACACTCTTATATCACGAATACTTAACCCATATATACATAAGATACTATGCAACAAAACTTCACCCTTCTACAACATTACTTTAATGTTAAGCTGGACACTAAAATGGCTTGCTGTGCTGTAGTACGTCAGGTTTTAGAAGTTCACTGGCCAGTGAGTTGGGGAAAGTTGAAGAGCCTGGCACGTCGGACTCCCAAGTCCCCTACATATTAGCGTGGGGTAGGAGAAATGCAAGACTGCCGGGAACCAAGAGGGGTCTGCTCTCGACCCTAACCAGATATCTTGACTTAAAGTTGCGGCCTTCACGTGGCTTCGGGAGAGTGCCACTAGTCGGACCAAGCTCATGACCCCCCTAGTGGGTGCGGAATGGCTAGTGGTAGCCAACAGCAGCTAGAGGTTTTTGATCTGGCCGAGTAGAGCTGCTGTATGCGCTAGGCTCAAGAAAAAAAATGGCCGAACGCCCCCACACGATCAAGCCGGGTACCAGGCGGTAGGACGACGTCCCTCGTCTGGTGGGTGGGGAAGGAAAGCCCGGTGAGAGCCCACGGAAGTAGCGACCGAAGTTTGGGAAACTCTCGTGGTCGGAGTTTGCTACACTGAGGCCTGCCTGGCTAATGGAAGTCAACCTTCTGAGCCGGTTTCCGTATAAGGAAGGAAGGAAGAGCTAGTGGCCGTTCCAATCACACAGGGGAGAGAAGCGATACAGAGATAACATGGTCAAGGGAGATTACCAATAGGACCTTACACTACGATCGAAATGATCAAGGCATTAATTTAATAGCGTTTTAATCAATGCCACGCATTCTTTGATTCATGTAATCAAACGTGGGGAAAGATTAATGAGTACAATCTTTATAATCGGTAAAATAAACAACAGTACGCTCTCAATATACACAAGATTACACCCACGTATTCAGCGATACAACTTTAATATGTGGATGTCGTCGCAATCGTAACGTACATAGTTCAACAAGATCGATGATGTATAATCGATCATCTAACTTTGATCTCTTTCGGTCTACAGCTGCACATGTTGACTTCGTCGGATTTTATTTTCAGACAAAAAAAAAAAATAATTTTATTTAAAACGAGTTCGTTGTGACATGAATATAATGGGGTATTACGTCATCCTTCACATTTTTATTCACATTCTAATTATTAAAGTGTGCTTCATCGATAATTAATGGATTGCTTGATTAAATAGTTGGTTGATCGATTTGTGATATTATTTGATTGATTTCATGATTATTTGATAGATTGAATGTTGGATAAAGGGTTATATTAATTAATGATTAATGGATTGATGGAAGGACTGATTATTGAATTAATGTATTGTTTTGATTTATTGATCTTGATTGATTGAGTGATTTATTTATTTATTTATTGATTGATTTAATGATTGATTGATTGATTGATAGATAGATAGATTGATTGATTGATTGATTGATTGATTGATTGATTGATTGATTGATTGATTGATTGATTGATTGATTGATTGGTTGATTGATTGATTGATTGATTGACTTACTGATGTATCTGTTCTCAGGTCCCTGAACGAGGTGGCCATGAAGGCCCACAAGAACGCCATCTACCGGGACTACGACACCGACTGCCCCCTGCTCAGCGAAATGGTTGACACCAAGACCATCTACGTCAGCAGCAGCGCCACAGCCAAAGATGACGTCAAGCCTACGTCACCAAGCCAGGGAGCCGCGACAACAGGCTCCACGTGACAGGGGCCACGCCCACCTCATGTACACGGTTTTTGTCACGCCATGTGAATTCTGCACGTGCCAAACTCACGCGGTTATCAGCGGAAAATGCTCGTGCATGCATTCTTAACGTGTGAGCCTACATTAAGCGTCTGGTTAAAGCGCGGGCGTCAGATATGTTGGAGCAGAAACCACCCCCCCCCAGCCCAATCCTTCAACAACCTCGATACGACTTCAAGGCTAGCAATGTTGTGGGTCACCGTGACACGACGGGCAGACCTGTGGTATCGTGTGAGCAGAAACTTCATCAAAATGGCGTGTTGGTTCATTCAGGTCATCACGCCATGGTAAAGTGCGAACCTGTTTGCTATAGGACCATCGTGTCCTGCTATAGGACCACCGTGTCCTGCTATAGGACCAACATGTCCTGCTACGTCCTACTGTAGGACCGTCACGCCCCACTGAACACGACACCTCAAAAAAAAAACTCACAATCTGTCAACGTCGTCTACATATGACGTCACCTTTTTTACGTGAAGGGTCAAGTCTTCACATGACATCAGATGACATCACGTGACACATGTCGACGTGTCTCCACACAGGAATGTTGCCTACTTTAGCCCGGGTTAAATTATTCTCCAGGATTTTTGTCTGGCTAGAAATAGCATTCCAACGCCTGTGACCTTGAACTCTGTGAAGCCTGCACGTGTTTTTAAAGTGGCTTTAACGGATGCCTGTTTGTTTACTGCTAGCAACTGCTGTCTACTTTACTCGGCTGGCTATCTTTTTGTCAACTAATCGGGTGGGTGGTGGGGTGGGTGTGGTAGGTTGGGTGTGGTAGGTTGGGTGGTGGTAGGTTGGGTGTGGTAGGTTGGGTGTGGTAGGTTGGGTGTGGTAGGTTGGGTGTGGTAGGTTGGGTGTGGTAGGTTGGGTGTGGTAGGTTGGGTGTGGTAGGTTGGGTGTGGTAGGTTGGGTGTGGTAGGTTGGGTGTGGTAGGTTGGGTGTGGTAGGTTGGGTGTGGTAGGTTGGGTGTGGTCTAGTTGTTTGAGCAGGGTGTGACCCACACATTACAGCTCCAATTACTGGTGACACGCATGATTTGTTTTCTAAATGGACAGCCACACGTAGGTTAAATTACGTAACAAAACCATTACAGACTCGAGTTTATATGCTCAAGGTTAGGGTTTGAATCCTTTGCTGCTGTTAAAGTTACTGCCACTCTAGCTTTCGTCTCATTCAGATTTGAACTCAGGTCTCTAGCGTGGTATGATCGCCTTGTCCACTGTTCTAGTTTAAGACCCATGTTTCTAAAATAAGCCGACAGACCTTGTTTGTTGCAAGTTTACAACAACGTGTTCTAATGTTGGATGTAAACAAACTGGTCATGTGACATTGGCGCTGTGTGTTGTAGACGGTAGGTACCTGAGGGGGTGAGGGGCACAGGTAGAAGGTTAACTTACCTCCGACCAGGTAGACTTACCTAGACTAGACCTAAGTAAACTTACCCAGCAAGGTAAATTTACTCAGCTTGGTAAAGTTAGCTAGGTAAAGTTACTCAGCTAGGTAAAGTTACTCAGCTAGGTAAAGTAATCCAGCTAGGTAAAGTTACTCAGCTAGGTAAAGTTACTCAGCTAGGTAAAGTTACTCAGCTAGGTAAATTTACTCAGCTAGGTAAAGTTACTCAGCTAGGTAAAGTTACTCAGCTAGGTAAAGTTACTTAGCTAGGTAAAGTTACTCAGCTAGGTAAAGTTACTCAGCTAGGTAAAGTTAGCTAGGTAAATTTACTCAGCTAGGTAAAGTTACTCAGCTAAGGAAAGCTAAATAGAGATAGGTAAACACCTAGGTTAAGCGCTGCTATTTAAAAATGTAAGAACGCACTCAGAAAAAATCAAGTGACCTATCAAGTGCTACCATTCTAGTGACGTCACTGACCTAAATAAATCAAGCCGAGGAGGAAGTAAGGAAAAGAAAATGGTTGAAATCTGTTTGCCTCCGGAAATAATTTTTTTTTACCCAACAGGTGTTTTAGAAATGACGCCAGGAATCTGGGTGATATATTTTGTTTTACCTCACACTCGTTTAAAGACAGTGCGGTTGTTTACTTGAGATTCTATTTTTAGAATCGCCTATTGAAAAGCTCAATTCTGTTTTATTTAATTGTTTACTTCAATCTCGAAATCATTAACGTATAATATGTATAACTGTCCTTGTAACATGGCATATGTGAGCAATGTTGTTCTCTTGGTGTGATAACTTTTTGTGGAGATGGCGATACCGATGACGTGTGAATGTAGCGCTGACAAGGATTTAAACCGGTGTCTTGTTGTGTTTGTGTCGTGTTTGTGTCGTGTTTGTGTCGTGTTTGTGTCGTGTTTGTGTCGTGTTTGTGTCGTGTTTGTGTCGTGTTTGTGTCGTGTTTGTGTCGTGTTTGTGTCGTGTTTGTGTCGTGTTTTTGTCGTGTTTGTGTCGCGTTTTGTGTCATGTTTTGTGTCGTGTTTGTGTCGTGTTTGTGTCGTGTTTGTGTCTTGTTTGTGTCGTGTTTGTGTCGTGTTTGTGTGCCGCATTCAATGATAAACTGTTTGACTTGACCCACGATGACGCGGCTGTGTGGCTACTTTATGGCTACACGAGTTGAAAGGTAGCCAAATGCCCCACGGTCACTGCCTTCCCCCCCCCCCCCCTGCCCTAACCGGTGATTCGTCAGTTTTATACACGTGTTAAATTACCTGATTCGCTATTCATAAATGGGGGCCTGGTTTTATTTACAGAGCGCCTTAACTAGCTATGAGCATTGTGATTAGCACTTAGACCATGAACAGCACCTAGCATCGTGACTAGCACCTAGTACCGTGACTAGCACCGTGACTAGCACCTAGCACCGTGACTAGCACCTTGTATCGTGACTAGCACCGTGACTAGCACCTAGTACCGTGACTAGCACCTAGCACCGTGACTAGCACCTTGTATCGTGACTAGCACCTAGCACCGTGACTAGCACCTAGCACCGTGACTAGCACCTAGCACCGTGACTAGCACCTTGTATCGTGACTAGCACCGTGACTAGCACCTTGTATCGTGACTAGCGCCGTGACTAGCACCTAGCACCGTGACTAGCACCTAGCACCGTGACTAGCACCTTGTATCGTGACTAGCGCCGTGACTAGCACCTAGCACCGTGACTAGCACCTAGCACCGTGACTAGCACCTTGTATCGTGACTAGCACCGTGACTAGCACCTTGTATCGTGACTAGCACCGTGACTAGCACCTAGCACCGTGACTAGCGCCTAGCACCGTGACTAGCACCTAGCACCGTGACTAGCACCTTGTATCGTGACTAGCACCGTGACTAGCACCTTGTATCGTGACTAGCACCGTGACTAGCGCCTAGCACCGTGACTAGCACCTATTATCGTGGCTAGCACCGTGACTAGCACTGAGTACCAGCTAGCGTGTACCCTAAGACCCACACAATGATGCAGCTATAAAGTTTTGTTTCTCTACGTGTAGCGACTACATTTTTTCAGACATTCCAATATCTGTGTACACATTATTTCCTATCGATAAATGGTAATCACCCAACTCATTAGGGCAATTAGACACGGCCCTCCTTCAATCGTGTTAATTTTCGCTTGTCACATTTTATTAGAGAGTGATTGGGGAAGACATTGGATTCAGTGCCTTTATGAGGAATATTAGCAGTAAAACTAAAATGATGTCCATTGATTTTTAACTTTACTAACATTAAACCGTGTTTGATTACTATTGATGATCTAATAATAAGACTTAACTTTAGATCATGAAGTAGCTAAGCTAAAAAATTATGTAAATATTTATCAGGCTTAGCTCTGACGGTGATGGTGCAAGTAGCGTAAGTCTCTGACAGAACATTCAAATTTATCGACTTGACCAATCTTGACTTTACTTGATGTAGATAAATTAAGCTCATTTTGAGGTGATTTTTAAAAGTAGGAATAAAAAGGGAACTCTGTTAGATTAACATGGGGCGCCTATTATCGTAAACCCTTTTGTCATGTCAGACACATGCTGCCAACAACACATCACGTGACCGCGTCAACATGTTAGCGTTGGTCAAGCTGACATCTCCACACGATGTGGCTGTGAATATATATCATACATATGATATACATATGATATACATATGATATACATATAAATAATATAAATAATATAAACAAAGCAATGGCATGTATTCCAATGTTGAAATATTCATGGCCTATTGATTCGTTAAGATCGTGTTATAATTAGCCTATTGATTCGTTAAGATGTTGTTATAATTAGCCTATTGATTCGTTAAGATGTTGTTATAATTAGCCTATTGATTCGTTAAGATTTTGTTATAATTAGCCTATTGATTCGTTAAGATTTTGTTTTATTTAGCCTATTATTGGCTTTAAACCTGTGAAGATCATTTTTGTTATCACTTTGTTATCACTTTACACATTTTCAAGTTTATCTGATAATTCATTGTATCTAGATTATACATTTTTATCTGATAATTCATTGTATCTAGATTATACATTTTTATCTGATTATATTATATATTTTTATCTGATAATTCGTGGGTATACTAAAAGATGATTGATGTTATAAATATGGGTTTTGTCAAATGGTGGTAGAAATATATTTGTCAGTAATTTTGTCAGTCTAACGTCGTGTGACTTATTTATTTATGTGTATGTCATAGTCCGATTTTGTTTGAAATTTTTGAACCTTGAAATTTTTACTTCGCCTCCAAAATCAACCACAATTTTAAAGATTCATGGTTGTATATGAAGGAAATGTTTATTTTTATATGTTATATATATTTATTACATTAAAATACTAAAATATATTTTAAATTTATCGATATTGCCTGACTACAAAATAAAAATATAAATCACGTATGTTATCACAAGCTATAAATGGATCTAGTATTATTGAAAAGTGTGACTTATATTATAGACCTATATCTATGACTTTTGTTTTTATGACTTTGAAGCAGGTATGTTTTAAATGTTAAACCATCGCGACAAATAAAATATTCGGTTTTGAATTACGAGGTATGCTCATTAATGTTTTAATTAAATTATTTTTTCCCATTAACAAACATCTTAATTGTGACATGTGGGCTGTAAACATGTGAAATTGTAAGTGACCTTGACCTACAGCTGAATGTCTGGTGAATGACATGTCATTTGGCAGTGATGTCATCCATGTGTGTCAGCTTGACGTGTGTTTAGACACGATGTCTGTCGCCCAGCGACGATTTGCATTAATTAGTTAATTAACTTAATTTGTAGCCGCCCCACACACTCCCCCACCTTAATGACTACTTTGACATGTCAAGAAAACATATCGGGTTTCAATTTGTGAGTTTGTCGTACAGTTAGCTCAGAGCTTAAATGGAAGAGACGGGGGGGGGGGGGGAGGGTAAACAAAGAGGCCGAGTAGATCATGGATGGTGGGTGCTGGTGGGGGAGGGTGGGGGAGGTAGGAGAATATTTCTTGCTAGGTTAAGTCCTTTTTATTGCCTTATTGGATCACAATGCAGTCTAAATTGATTTTCTTGATACACACACGCATATATATATATATATATATATATATATATATATATATATATATATATATATATATATATATATATATATATATATATATATATATATATATATATATATATATATATATATATATATATATATATATATATATATATATATATATATATATCAAAAGAGAGTGAGAGAGAGAGAGATAGTGAAG